CATTGTATGAGCTAATATACCCCAACATCATATAACGAAATGACATATATATATATATATATATATATATATATATGATATATATATATATATATATATATATATATATATATATATATATATTTATCTATATATATAGGTGTGTGTATATATATATGTATATGTATATGTATGTATGTATGTATATATATATATATATATACAAACTTGTATATTTGTGTCGGAGTCATAGGATGTGGTAGTAACAGCAGAATATAGTATAATATACCTTACTAATAAACTGTATATAAGACGGTTTTATAAGCAGCATGTACGGTACTTTATTCATAATCTGCATACTGTCTTGCACTCAGGTATCCATATTGAAAGATCAGCCGCCGCTGGCGAGTCCCGGCCTCGGCGAGAGTTCAGCCACCCAGGCCCTAGTTTTATATAATTGTATACAGTTATATATATATATATAACCTCAACAAGAGAAGCTTTCGTGTGGTCGTTGTTCACTTTTTGTGGCTCTGCCGTCGCGGCTACCATATGACAGTCATGCCGGCGACTGCTACTTGTGCCATTTCTACTGCTACTTGTACTGCTAATGCTACCGCTACTGCTACACCTACTACATACTAGTAGTAGTAGTAGTAGTAGTAGTAGTAGTAGTAGTAGTAGTAGTAGTAGTAGTAGTAGTAGTAGTAGTAGTAGTAGTAGTAGTAGTACTACTACTACTCCTGCTCCCACTCCTGCTACTGCTATTGCTAATTTGCTAGTGCTGCTACCATTACTACCACTACTGCTAGTACTGCTGCTGCTGCTGCTGCTGCTGTAGGGATGTTCCCATTACAAGGGGGGTGCGCAACACTATTGCTAATATGCATGCAGACGCCTGTGGAGAAGACGACTCTTTGCAGGTTGATATTGGAACAACTTCACGGCATAGCCTGTGCACGTAATACATGGCATAAAATTACAATACTACACGGCTGGCATCCTAACCGGCCGAGGCTTGCTGGGCATATCCAGCAGCGAACCCCCAGCGTTACTGAAATCCGCCGAAGCCGCGCTAGCTTCTGCAAAGTATGCGTGCCCGCACTGTGGCCACTCGGATGCAACCAAGTCAGTAACCGGACAATGTGCGACTTTGCGCCTTTCGGGCAAATGGGGTCAGCTGTGAATTTGATGTCCTTTGATGGTTTGGCCTTCAACGCCCTCCCAGGCATTCGTTTGATTCTGGAACCTTTGTGGGCAGTGGTCTTGCCTTCCATGCACGGTTTTTGCGCACTCCTGCTGAATGTCTACAACGCCCTTTCTGCCGTATGGTTCTTCTGAAGCCTCTCTGAAACTCCATCATCAGCAACGCGCAGGGTCCAAGGTGGCAAGCACTTCTTGGAGCCAGGGCCATGCAGTGCTCAAAGCCCCGGTGAAACGGTGCAGGGACTCTCTACCTTTCACGGTTGAACCTGGCGTGCAGCAGCCGGATGCCCCCAAAGCCTCGATTATCGGACGGCTGCAGTTCAGGAGTGTGGATGCTTCCATGACAATGTTACAGCAGGTTGTGGTAAACCTTCAACGCGATATTGGAAGTGTGAGGGTGTAGTCTTCACCCAACTGTCTAGGGGTGCCGTACCTCAGGCAAGCGTAGTCGCGTAAGGGTCTAATGTTGCTCCATGCCGGGCTCTGGCATGCTGCGGCGGTGTACACGGGTCTCAGTCTTTGTTGAATCTCAAACGATCGTCTGTCAGGGAAGCTTCCGCCCGAACCCTCGAATACCCTCGAAACCATCACAGCCGCGTTTTGCCGGCGCTTCGCTGCGTCTCGAGCAAGGCACACGTTGTCACTGTTATCCCGCGTTCGTGTAGGTGGCCCCGTAGCACGATCTGTTTCGGAAGGCATTGTAAACCTTTCTAGACTTTCTTGTCTTAGTAGTTTCTATTCAGGCATTTTCTATTTCAATGCTGCTCCAGTGGCAGGTGCGGTGTTTATGAAGTGGCCGCTTGGAGTGCATGCTCATTTTCATTTTGCTCTATCAGCTCTGGCTTTCAGCATGCCCACAGTCAAGTTATGGCAGAGTCTGGCCTAGCGCCTGGGAAGCTGGAAGTTAATCAGACAAAACTTCCTGACTTCAGGTCTGCATGCATGCACCACATTGTGACTGAGCCACTCGGCCAAAGCAAGCTATGCTCTTCCTGACCAGATGTTGCAATATCAGAGTACGGCTTTCGGCAAGCTGCGAGCGTTGCAAGAGGATCCTGCAGTAGTTGGCAGAAGGATGCGGAAAAGCACTTCTTGAGACATGCTCTGCAATGATGTCCACATGTGCTGTCGGATGCTGAGTTCACGTACTTGCCGGGACAAGATATTGCCTGATGGCAAGATGCCTGCCGATATGACTGAGTTGCAAGAGAAATGCAAGGTGGGCTCTGGGCACGCCTGTGCTAGTCTTTTCATGTCGCAGGACATCCAAACCCCACCCCACATGCCATGAGACAGGTGGAGAGGGAGAGAAGAGAGAGAGAGAGAGAGAGAGATGGAGAGCGAGCGCAGGCAGACTGCTCCTGCCTCAAACCCCCGAGCAAAGCAAAGAGAGAGAGGGATACTTGCGACCGGGGGGCTTCGAACACCCCTCATGCCCCGGTGAAGAAGATGGGCGGGCCTGGTGCCCGGGAGGCTTGACTCGCCCCTTACGCCTGAGAGATAGAGTGACTGCCTGGTCCAACCTGTTGGAAGTTTAGGAGTCTGATTTGCCTCAAGCCATCGGCAGTCTACATGCAAGATGTGAAGGGCTCAGGCACCTTCGCTCGTCAAGATAAGGAGGCTTCTGAGCTGACCAGAAAATCAAGATAAAGAGTGCAAAACTCGAATATGCGCGATTTGAATGGTTTTGGGGACGTGCGAGCCTATCGTCGCCCGGAAAGCCCTTTTCGACAAAGGCTGTGAGCGCTCGCCGGAGCGGTCGTGCAGCTTAATTCCAAGCAGCTACTAACTATGGGAACGGGTATACATAAGCTTGAAAACATGCTGCATGCGCATCATGCTCCAGGGTCGATGCTCTGGCATGTGAGAGTTCCTCTGCTCCGAGCTTCTCTGCCAGAGGGAGAAGCCAAGACTGAATCAATGAGTCTTGCACCTGGGTTTGCGTTTTGCACGGAACTTGCCAAGCTGCGGCAGGCGAAAGCCGCCGAAATGCCAAAGGCATCATGGCTGCAGAACGAAGTCTGAGGCACACACGGTGTATCATGATCGGAGGGCTTCCACCCCAGACACTGACAAAGCGGCAATGACGGCGGGGCGGCAATTACATCCATGAGTCGCAGAATGCAGCCATACGATCGTGCATCATGCGCCATGAGAGTTAGCCAGCGCGCAAACGTTTCATGAGCGCACGTGGCACAGTTAATGTTGGCTGAGCAGCAGCTCGTATCGTCAGATAGAGCCACGTGGCACATCCTATAGCCATATATTCTTCCCGGCAATCTTCCCAAATCATGTATTCCTTCGGAACTTTTCTTGTTCCGGGACCGTGTCTGGCCACACGTTGCGGAAAAGGCCCACCGGTAGAAGACTCACATCGCTCAGCGAGGATGATGTGCACTGTCAGGTGGACCCGATAAGTGCACGGAGGCAAAAGGCATTGGCTCAGGAACTAGGAAACAAAGTCTGTCTTGGTGGGCTTGTAACATTGGCTTGTAACATTGTAGAGGTCTTCAGCTCAGAGGCTACAGCTGAAGCTTGACCAAAGGAGTTCCCGTCACCCCGGCGCTAGAGTCATGCAGAATCTGAGCATACATAGCCACTTCCAGACAAGCAGAATGGTGCACACTCTGCAGGCTAGTAACGGCCAGTAGAATCGACCGCAGCCAAGCTGAGCACGATCGCATCAGTGCAAGCAGAATCGTCGAGAGTCGTAGGTAAGTGCGCAAAACCGCGGAGTTATGCACAAGCGTCGGTTCCGACAAGGCGATCTTGGCACCCAGTATTACCAGCCGATATATCCGAGGGTAAGTCTCAGAACTTGATTTAACACTTTCTTCTGTGGTCTGCCCAGGATGTGAAAAAGAGCAAACCTGACGCAGACGCTCAGTGGCATTTGTGTTTTCGCGAAGGGGGCTCAAAGGCAATTGTGTGTCAGCGCCGAGAGACGCATTGGTATCGGTTCGTGGACCTACATCTTGCTTGTGATCATATAGATGGAGCTGAGGATGTACCAGTTGAGAAGCGTCGCTTTCAGTAAGTCGGAAGAGGAGAGGGGCTCCAGTGCAGCTCCGTGGAAAGCTCTTTGAAGTGAGCAAGCTTAGGGTGTAGGGCTCCAAGCCACGTGCTGCGGATGTATGCCGAATGTGCTTGGGCCCCGCCGCTTTGCGCCGGAGCCGCTCGAAGAGCCGGCCGAAGAGCACAGCGGGCAACCGTGTTTCGGAACGGGAAGTCACCGACCCAAAAATCTCAAAGAGCCTGACGCAGTGTCTACATGGATTCACAAGTCGCTGCAGTCCGCGTGAGACACGCAGCTTGGAAGTGCTTGGAGGGCATTAGTGCTTACCATCTGCGCCTAGCCTCCCATAGACCCAGGGTGGCTGGGTGCTGTGCGTTGCTGTGTTGAAACGAGCACAGCAGCATTGAACCTGCAGATACGGTGCAACCACTCTTATGCCTTGTCTGCGGGCCTTGAACTTTTTGAGTGCCAAGACTTCCTGAATGGACTTGACTATATCGAGGGGACGAGCATCTGACGATGTGATGCCATTTCACGGGTGAGGCTCAAAGCATGCTAGCATGCTTCTTCTGAACTGAAAAACTGAAAGTGCTTCTCTTGAAGCCCCACCCGTCACTAGTAGGAGGCTTTTGCAGACCCACGGTGCCCACGGTGGATACAGACGAAGAAAGAGATTCCTCACGCGAGAGATGGGCGCACACAAAAGTCAATGCAGTGCTGTCAGTCTCAGTATCTGTCAGTCTCAAGGCCTTCATCTTCTTAGCTTTGCTGGGGAGCCAGAATTCGCATGCGAAGCCAGGATGCCCTCCTTCGTTTCTGGGCTGGACATTGGCAAAGTGCCCTGGACTCAGTCCATCAAGGCCCCCAAAGCATAACGAGGCCCCCGTCCCCCCAAACCGTTGCTGAGCACGACACGGAGCGTGAGTATGCGCTGCAATGCTCCACAATGCTCCACAGGTCGCAGGACCCGACCAACCCAAGCTCAGCCACGGGTCAGGCGGGAACGGATTTAGGATTCGGCTTTCGGAAGGCCTTTCGGACGTGAGGGTGATCAGATTACGAGGTAGCTGCGTGAAACGACGTGCAGCGACAGCCTGTCACACTCGGCCACCTAACTCCGGACGCACAAAAGTGGCAGAGTTCTAACTCCAAGCTTCCCGCCCCCTTTGCCTCGGCAAGATAGACTGATAGACTTGCAACTGTTCCAGAATCGAAGACGTCGGGGGTGAAAACTTGAAACAGTGACATGTGTGCGACTGCAATGAGCAGGCTGTGCGTCGCCTGGTGCATTCGCGGTCGCAGGGTACAGGCCTTCTTCTGAACGACCGGACGCCCAGCCAAACCAGTTGCCGGTTCTACCCATGCTCCATTCGCTGCATGGAAGCGAGCATTGTCAAGCTTGTATGATTGAATCAAATCGACTTTGCGAGCAGTTCACCTGCTAAACTGCTAGGCGCTCATGAGCGTGCATGCTTGCCGTGTTTCGTAATTGTGTGACCCCGTGAAAGTCGCTTGGGCATACACCGCGAATATGCTTTGAATCGAAGGTCTCGACAACCGAGCACCTTGCATGTACCTGAGGCAGGGCAGCATGTGATGAACAGCAAGTCCACATCGCGGTCGCAAGGGAGCCACTTGACAGCACACTTGTCGATGCGGAGTGGAGGGCGAGTGTGGACTGAGCAGTCGTGCAGGAGCAAACTGGGTTTGCTTACCCGAGACTTGTGGTGCCAATGTCTGGTTGGCGTTCTGGTTTGTGCCTCTCTGGAATTGTCGGCTAAGGTCGATAGTCTGCAGAGGCCAGGAGGGAAGGGATGCGTTCTGGAGAGCAAAGAGTGCTTCAGCCGGGCGGACGTGGAACTCGACTTTGCGCGCATGTCTTCACCGAATGGCTGCACCACAGGAAGCACCGCCGTGGTGACACTGCGTCCCAAAGCAGGACTTAGCTGCGAGTTGCGTCGTTGCCAGTGGTTATGGCTTGACAAGTTGTGAAGTTATGTTTGGGCACTCTGACTTGAGCAAGCATCGCTAGCAACGAGCACACCGAGCCAGTTTCACCACCTGTAGGTTCACTTGAGGCCATGCTGGTCTGAATGTGTGTCTGACTTGCACAGATACTTGCCGTAGATGTTTCGGTTTCTTCCCTGCTCTTCGTTCTTCGGAGTTCCGATTGACCCGGTGGACCTCACAAAAGACCAGCGCAAGCCTCTACTCGCAGCACGAGTGGTTCGGATCAAGTGCAATCAGGAATATCCTTAGATCCGAACTGCTGGCCGACTCCTGACGTGGAGTTGATTTTAGGTGCTGACTAGCCTAGCTGCCAGGTTTACCGTCTTGCATCCAATGTAACGAGGAGTTTAGACTCAGAGTCAGACCAACCAGTGCGATAGTCGGCACCTCAGCTGCGCATAGCGCACTCTGTTGACACCCGCATGCCAGAAACACAAAGGGACCTGGCCCACATGCCGTCGCTGTTAAGACACTCGGAGAACTCCTGTGGACCCAACCTACTGACAAGGCTTGCTGCCCAACCCCTTGCAACGACGCTCCGCATTCCCTGTGAGGCGCATGGCGCCGCCAGCAGTCCGGCGGACCGGAGACGGGTGAAAGATGCGCCAAAGCACGACGTTGTGCTGGGCTTTTTTAGCTGAGACTTGCACTCGCTGGACATCCCTGGCTCAAGCGGAGGGTTCGAGCAGACACCTTGCTCTCCTTCTGCCAGAAGCAGGGATCTGCTTCTCCCCTGCAGTCAATTTAGTCCTCTCGCAACACTGAGCCACAGTCACAGCAGACCCCACCTTCGCATACGCTCTGCACTTGCAGCCAACACCGTGTGCCAAGAGGCTCCAACTAGCAGACTAGACTAGCACAACCTTGAAACCCTAAGACCCTATAGCTTTGATCAGGACCCCCCCCCCCCCAAAAGCCGCAACCTCCGCAAGAGGATCCAGAAAAGCCTGAAGCCTCGGAGACATGGCAGCGCCGGCGATGGGATCGTGACCTCGCCATGCTTTGAGTGCTTGGTAGGGAATGGAAGAATGGTAGTAATAGTAGTTATAAATTCTATTAAGCAAGGGTAAGTAGTGGCCGCCAGCGACCTCGGCAGGGCGCCTTAAGCCCAAAGGTCCAAGGAGACAGAGAAGGTCCTGCACAGCAGCCAGGGATCTATCTCTAGATCCTTGTAGGTGCTGCAGTTCGCCAGGTTCAAAAAGGCTGCGCCGGCTCCAGATCTACTTGTCGTCGGCTTAGCCGAGGGTTTCCACATCTCGTGAAGGCTATACTATACTACTATACTGTGCTATACTGTACTGTACTGTACCATACCATACGGTACTATACTATACATAACTGTCTAACTATCTACATATATATACACACCCACTGTGCGATACCGTACCACACTATACTATGGGCCTTGGATCAGGCACGAGTTTCCAAACTTTCCACTCTCGCAGCCGGACAGAGGCAGCCGAACCGCAGAAGGTGAAGAGCTTCGCGAGCACCGTCCAACCTGGTCCGGGGCACCCGGAATTGGTGTTTCATTAAGGTCTTTAGGGGCCTTCGGCCCAGGGAGTACAGTGGATAAGCTGTGAACTGACATGGTGAAGTGCCTTCCGATCTGATTTTGCCGTTGATGGTGGAGTCCTCTGGATAGAGAGCTCGAGCTGCCAGGACTGGAGCATCGCCCCTTCTCAGATGAAGAGATCAAGGAGGTCCGAGACCAAGAGAGTCACAGATTCCTGCTCGCATGATTCGTGTACCCTGCAAGTACCCATGGTCCGACGACGAGAACAGATTGTTATGCAAACTTGAATTTCGCTCCAACCTCCGTGAGAGAAGCTCTTTGGTCACCTACTGTATCAACGATGTAGTGCAAGGGTCAACGCCAATTTCTCGAACTACCGCCAGACTGCCGGCCTGAAGATGGATCCAGGCGTTTGCAACCTTTGACCTCGACAACAACCGCTTCGTGGGAGCTGCAGAGTCCGAATGCCCAGTTGTTGCGTGGCCCGTCTCGAGAGCAGTGCGTAGGGTTTCCACATGATGATCAAGTTTCGACAGAACAAGACTGGAAAGATGCTGTAAGGATCTCGCACATCCTCAAGCTCATCGGCGAGGAGGTGTCTCACCAGGACCATTGAGCATGCGAGCGACGGCAGAACTACTTGGAACTTGGCTTCGCTGTTGCACGTTTCGGCGAGATGTTGGAATCTCTCGAACTCAACAGATTTCGGTACGCATCGGGCGATGACGACCCAAAACAAACAGCCCAAGAAAGGATTCCTAAGATCAGTACTAAGATCTCAACAGCCCAGCAGCTCCGACTGGGGCTGGCAACTTGTAGTTGTAATTATAACATAGTGTATTTATGCATGTAATTTACCACCATAATGTACTATATTATACGGGGCATATCATAACTTGTACTTTCTTAAGAGGTGCCGTCAAGAGGATGGAGTGGGTGTTTTCGGCTGGCGTGTCGTGTGTGGCAGAGGCCGCCTTGTTCCAGTCCCAAGCGCTGCGACGTGCATCTATGCCGGGGACATGGGAGGAAGCCGAAGTAACTGCAGTCGTACTATCGGCGAATGCGACACAGGCGTGACAAGATTCGCTTGCCGTCTGAAGCAGGCATGTTTGCCAGCAGAGTAATCATGTTCAAGGAAGTCACACCCCAGCCGACATCGGAGAAGGACGCTACGTAAAAGTATATGCTTGCGTCGAAGCCCGTGAATGTGGGCTTTGCGAGCCGCCCTGTCACAAGTCTCTGTGGAAAGCTACTTCCCAGAGAAAGTGCGAAGACGAAGAACATCGCCGGGAAGCATGGCTTGAAACCTCCATAGGCGGCGGGGAGGAAAGCAATGCACCTTGAAAGCGAACGAGGTCCACATGTAGCAGGATGCACGATGCACCGCCATACTTCCTTGCCAGCCTGCACTGGCTGGCTGCTTGAGTATCTTCTGTGCAAGCAAACTCAACTACTCAATCGCTGCAAGCAGCAAACTTCATTGCTCGGGTTGCGAGTTGGCCGGTGTCAATCGTCGCCGTCGTAGCCTTTGAAGTAGCGCGAGGAGATCGATGAAATGATTCGGATGTGCGACACCGATGGAGATGGACAGGTGGTAAGCTCAGTTGCACAGTGCTTTCGGATTTTGTAAGTTTCGAGCAGTGATTGGAGGTCACATTTGACGAGTTCTACAAGATGATGACTACTCCAGCGCCACCTCTGTGCCATCCTCGGGAAAGGGTGTTGTAAGTGGGCCACTGCTTGTCTGCGGTTCCCCAGTACTGCGACGTTTGCTGCGGATGTGCTCCTCCTAAGAAGTCGCTCGCCTCTGCATTGGCCAACGGCAATCGAAATTGTGGCCGTAGTGTTTGACAGCCTGACTTCTGGGCAGGCCTCCGGAGGTGAGATCGACAAAAAAGAAGCCCTACTCCACCAAGCTCGGTGGGGCAAAGAGGCTTGCGACATGTACTTGTTGAGCAGGATTGGGCTGGCAATGGATCCTTATTAGCATGCTGCGAAGCATTGCGAAGCTGTCTCTGCAAATCGGCTGACAGATATGCGAAGCAGCTCACGGAGTCAGGCAGGGTCCTCGGTTGAGGCATCTCGTGCACCGAGTGGCGCAACAGCGGGGCATGGGGCCTAATCAGTCCCTGGCGTTGCATGCGCTGCAGCTAAGGCCCAACCTCTTTAGAGAAGCTGCGGCCTTACATTCGTATTGCGGTCCATGAAAATGTGTCTGATTTGCTCCGAATAGCCTGACCTGTTGCCTGTTGCATACGCTTTGCCAGAAGCGGCCTGTAGGGCCTGGCAAAGTGAAGCGATTCTGCCTTTAGGATGTGCTCCCGGCAGCTTTGACTCAGGGCTACGGCTGAGCTCTCAAAGAACAAGGGCGATTGGCGTGCGCAGCAGAACGCTGCCGTAGAAGCCTCAGAGATGGAAAAATGAAGGTAGTGTCAATCATTGCTCATCACCTGCCTGCGCACGACTGTCGCTGTCTTTAGGCGGAAATGAAGCAGCAACGAGCCATGAGCGCCAGTTTCTCGGGATCGCGAGTTGCGCCTGGCAATCTGTGCGGCGTGTCAGGGAGCGGATTTGCCAGCGAGTTTTCTGTTTCCATCCTGACTTGCATGCACGAGGTCGAGCAGCTCATTCACAAGCTTTCTGGTGGCATGGGCAAGATCAAGCCTTCACAGCCGCCCAGCCGCAAAGATCCTTAGCAAGAGCAACCCGCCGCAGTTTGCCCTGGATGGAATCGTTGTGCCTCGCGGCTAAGGATCAAAAAGATCTACAAGCGCTTCGGGGACGGGCTCGTCTGTGTGTTTGTCGTTTGTCATCCCACAGTCTTGCTCTTGAACTCTTGCGACGGGTGGGAGGGTTGCCCAGGTCTGCAAAGACCCCCTCACGCACTGTAAACGTGCCTGTTTGCCAACCCATGGACTCCGTCGTGAACAGCTTAGGGTGCTACACCTTGTGCTACACCTTGCTCATCTAAGTATCTCACATCGGCTGCTGCAGCCCTTACATCTGCTGCAGCGGTGAGACAGTCTTCTTCTGTTTGCGAAAGCCATTCCTGCCTGACATGCACTGGTACAGATTCGTTGATTCGCCAGTAACAATGTCATCACTTCTATTTTGGCAAAGTTGTGGATCGAACTATCATGCAGATCGGCTTGCAAGTGTGTGTGTGTGTGTGGCTTTGCTGGCAGCTTCTGGTTTTTTTGGGGGCGACCAGCAGCTCGTCCTTGGATCTGCCATGGTCTGCATGAATGAAGTCTCGCTAGGCAAGTGCATGCGAACATGTACATTCAGATGTGGAATAGTCAAACCGAAGGTTTTGTGTCAGCAACGTGCTGGACAATCAATGGCCCAAGAGACATCCACTTGCACATGCTTGGACATGTAATGGCATGCCAGGAACCTCGCTTCCCTTGCAGCGATTGATGTTCAGGATATCGATGTCGACAAAAGCGGAGCCATCGACTACGAGGAGTTCATCCAGGTGGATGTCTTCTGATTCTGGATAGTTTTGCTAGTGATCAGTGTGCTCAAGGAGTAGTCATCTTCAACACGTCCTTCTCAGATGCACGTCGTAGATCAGCAATGGCGAGTCATCGCATTGCCACGCCGAGGGAGAACCTGGCTCTCTTGCACTCTTGTTTAGATTAGATTAGGTATGCCTTGACTTACTCCGGGTGCTTACACGAATGACCCGGGGCCCCTGAAGGCCATGGACATGGAAGACACCAACATTGCGAGGCCGGCGCCGCTTTGCAAATGCTTGCGAAGTGGGCTCTCGGGGTATAGCGGCAAGGATGACGAAGATGATGCCGGCAGCGACGACTGCTAATGCCACTACCACTCGTACTTCTATCCTTTTTCTTCTGTCACCGCCTGCTACATTTGGGCAGCTGGTGCAATTGTGCAGACAATCGCTCTGCCTCTGCGTCCGTGCTTAATGGTGGTTGTGATCGGCTACTAGTGTGGATGGCCTTGAATTGCTAAGTGCCCTTTCGTTGTAGGGTGCTGTGATGTCGTCTAGAAGAAGCAATATCGTGCAGCAACCGCCAGTTCGTGCGCAGGCAAATGTTCAGAGTCTTCGATATGGTTTCCTGGCTGCAAGTCATCGAGCCGGCTTGGCACGTTGTGTCAGTTGCTGGAAGCTGTCCATGGCCCTGTTAATCTTTATCCTTACTCTTCACCATGGGTGGTCATTTTGGTATGTTACTGTTGCAATCATCTGTCATGTTGCTAATGCCTTTTTTCATCGTCATCATTGGCAGCATCCGCGTCATCGCGACCGTCGGCATCATTTCTTCTCACCGGCATGACCATTTCATCATACTTGGACCAGCCAGTATCGGGTTTTCGTCAGTATCATCGTCATTGGCATGAGCGGTACATGAACGGTATCACCACCACCACCATCATCATCGTCATCATCGTCACCATGGTCATCATCATCATCATCATCAGCATAACCATCTTCACCGTCTGTTATTACAATCACGTTCCACAATATGATCTTCATCATCGTCTAACACCGCCACCACCACCACTACCACCACTACCACCACTACCACCACTACCACCACTACCACCACTACCAGCACTACCAGCACTACCAGCACTACCAGCACTACGACCACTACCACCACTACCACCACTACCACCACTACCACCACTACCACCACTACCACCACTACCACCACTACCACCACTACCACCACTACCACCACTACCACCACTACCACCACTACCACCACTACCTCCACTACCACCACTACCACCACTACCACCACTACCACCACTACCACCACGACCACCACGACCACCACGACCACCACGACCACCACGACCACCACGACCACCACGACCACCACGACCACCACGACCACCACTACCACCACTACCACCACTACCACCACTACCACCACTGCCACCACTTCCACCACTTCCACCACTACCACCACTACCACCACTACCACCACTACCACCACTACCACCACTACCACCACTACCACCACCACCACCCGAACCCCCACCAGCATCACCATCATCATCACCACCATCATCATTGTCATCGGCATCATCACCATCATCTTCATCATTATCATCATCATCGTTCTCATCATCCACGACCCTCCTCCTCCTGCTCCTCCTCCTCCTCCTCCACCACCCCATCATCATCATCATCATCATCAAAAAGGATCACAACTATCTGCATCACATCACCACCATCCTCATCAACATAAGGCCTTCACCCTGCATGTCGCCATCGATAGCAACAGTGTCGTTTCCATCTTCCATCGTCATAGCCATCATCATCTGCTTCTTCATTCGCCTTCAGCACTAGCATTAACAACATCGTCCGCCATCATCCATCATCATACCAGCAACAGCAGCATCATCTTCGTCATCGCCATCTTCATCGTCATGAGTCATAATCACCACCACCACCGTCACCACAATCATCATCATCATCATCATCATCATCATCATAACTATCGACATCATCCCCACCATCACGGTCACGCCGTTGGCGTCGAGCCGACCTGACGGAAATTCGTGCTCTGTCATGTGGGCCTCGAGTTTGGTTACTTCATTTTACGGCCTAGCATAGGTTCGGTGTACAGTTCATAGGACAGACTGCGCAAACCTTTCATCCGAGGACGGCAGTGGCATGATTGAGCTGAAGGAGTTCATCGTCGTTCTTTCGCGGTACACTGCGGCACGGGCCCAACAACTGAACCCTCACGCTGTTGTATCATGAAGTGACGGCATGTACCTGCCCAATGCTACACTCAACAGGTCACCAGCTGGGATGGAATGATGTCGTGTGATAGCAGGATGTCCCCAGGTCTGAAGTTCCAGGTGTTTAGAGGCTGGGATCTGGTCGGTCTGTCCCATCCCAGAGGCAGCGAAGACGGAAAAGCTGAAGTTCGCCTTCATGATGTTCGACCAGGTGCCTTCTACTTGGAGTTGTGTAGGGAGTCACTCTGCCGAACGCTTGAACTGTTCCCTGCCGAAGCTGACATGGCCAACTTATCGTAAGAATCGGTCGATCTGTGATCCGCCTTTTCAGTAGGTCTGCCAGAGTTTCCGACACCTGCTCAACGCGGTATGGTGCTGTGTGACAGAGCTCTGCGACTATTTCACTTGAAACAACTGGCAACCAACATGTGGATGGTGGTCAATATCCCTAATTGGGTACCCTAAATATTCGGTGCCGTATTAGAAGTAGGACCCAAAAAGGGGCCATAATGTTGACAACCACCCACGCGACGAGGGCTAGCCCGGAAGAAGTCCCTGCGACGCAGCTCAGTGAAGGCATCGAGTGAGGTCCAAATATCCGCAGTTGCGGTCCAGTAATCCTAGACCCTAAACCCATAAACCCTGAAATGTCAAGTGCCGTGTTCAGTCTGTAGCCCACAAACAGGATGGCAGCGGTCTCATCGATCGGCAAGAGCTGGTTGAAATGTTGCGGGTGCGCCCTCGCTGTCATCAGTGAAGGGTCTGAAGTTCAGATTCCAGGTGAAGCTCCCGGGTTTCATACACGGACAGAGCAGGTTTCGGCCGTCCAAGCCAAGCCCCCAAGGCGTGCAGAAGAATGCTATTCGCAGTTTTGTTCCTTGCTTTCTACGTCTTGATGCAGCGCGGCTCTGCTCGGAGAGTCTGCAGGCCTTCAGCTTCAATGTTTCGGCCTTTCCGGCCCTTCAAGCAAGCATAGAATGGTATACCTGAAGTGCCCGCAATGACATGAATGATGCAAACAGTGCATTCCACCTGGGACGGGCGTTGGCAACAACAAAGGCCATACGACCACGCAAAGGCATTGGCCATGGAAGTGATGATTGGAACATATTGTTCTGCATCAGGCGAGCTTCGTGGTGGAGGGCTACAGTCCAGAAGAGCTCGAAGAGCGTGCTGATAAGGTACACCTTGTTGCACGTAGGCGATCAGGAAGGCCTTGGGAGGATGTCCGTTGAGTTCTAGCTGGTCGGTCGTAAGTGGTTTCAGTTCTCTCAGGTGGAACTAGTATCCTCCGTCATCATCTACACTGATTACAGTAATCTGGTTGCACCTAGTCAAGCTTGACGATTGCCACGTGTTTTGCCAGTTTCGTGCACGCGATATTGTGCCCGGGCTCTTCACACAGGTCAGTTTTAGGAGAGATGCACAGCATGGATCATGTGCCAGTTATTATAAGTCAGCAGAGCAAAAGTAGCTACTGTACACGGGCAAAACAAGGTTGCTACTTGTCTGTACCCACGGTCTGAATCTGTGCTGAAAGCAGTTCTCAGGCACTACTTGCAGTCAGGACCAGTTGTATAGAGGTCGCTATATGAAAGATATTGCAGATCTTCGCGGAAAAGACATCTGCAAGAGACGGCCTCATGGTTCAAAGGCCATTTTTGTGGTATCTAGGCCGTCTCCGGGCTCCGTAGTTGGATCCCCCGAGCATCCTCGGGAGCATGGAAGCTGGCCAGGCGCTTTCGGGGCTTTTCGTTGAGAGGTTTCGGAACAGACCAGTTGATCTACGATGTCACGGACCTTCCTTGGAATTTTAAACCCAAGTGCAAGCAAGTTCTTCTTGGTTTTGAGCGGCTTGGCACCTTGCGCCCTGTCCCGGAGGCAGGCCATCAACAATGGCTGCAACAGGAACTCCGCAAGCTGTCACCCGACGCAGAAGTTACGATTTTTTCTTCCGATGTTGTCGGTTTGGAAAGGAAGTGAAGGGCGAACGGGTTTAGTTGCTGGGTGGAGGACGTGGGTTTCTGGGTGCTTCAAGAGCTGCCCTGTTGTGGAAGGCCTACATCGGAAATGCAGAGCATTAGCGTTTGGCTGCAGCAGGCGCGCGGTTGATTGCGTTGCCGCTGTTGTGCTTCAGCGAGAAACCAACACGTCACCTGAATTCAGATTCAAGCTTAAGTAAGACTTTGGTTTCGCGTAGTTGAGAAGTTGCACAGAGACAGTTGCAGATGTAGCAGTGTGCCTTGTCGCAGTTTGTTGGAACTGTGCACCTGTTCGTTCGGCCAGAAATCAAACCAGGCAGTATTGGAACCCGACACTTAGGGCTTCAAGCCCGAATCGGGAATTCTGATACCCTAAACCCTAAACCGACCTCATCCGGAAAAAACAACACAGCCCAAAGTCCCATCAACACCCATCGTGCAGAACTCACACATCCGAACACCCAAGACACCAGTGTCGTTCCTCAAACTTGTGGCACTAAACGGATCAATCCTGCACACTGTTGAGCCCCTTGCAATGCTAAGCACGAAAACAAACACCCCAAACCCTCCTAGTATGAGGGGGGAATACCAAGAAGTATACTGATAGCAAAATTCCCCGCTCAACCAGAAACAACTATTCTCAAAAAGGCTCCTTGTGAAATAGGGGGCCGAAGCATCCTGCGAATTATTGATCCCCCGCTGCCAAACAGACTCTAAAAGACCCTAAGCCCTCTTGCAACACTGGTTCAGGTGGAGATAGGCAGTCAACAAACCTAAGCCTGATAGAAGGGGCCTTACTAAATCCTAAACTTCCTAAACCCTAGAGAAGGGGCAGCGCTTGACGAGAGGTGCTGCAGACTCGCCTTCAAGCAGAGGCCACCCAGGGCTCAGGAAACGCCGAGGCGGGCGGATTTCGCATGTGGAGACGTTGCAGGGTGTAGCTTTGGGTTACTACGGTAGACGTTGCTACAAGTTTCCTGCAAGGTTTGCTTTAGGGTTTGGGGTTTGGGGATTAGTTTACAACTAGCGTACCAGTGTACACAGTTTCGGGATGTTCTGGCGTCGCATCGGTTATTTAGGGGTTCAGCTAGGTTACTAGTTCAGAGGCAACGAGGCTGGCAGAGCGGGCCAGTATGCCCATGGTACAGAAACCCAGCTCGCTACGTCACAGTGACAAACTTGACAAACATCGGTCGAGCCGCCATCGAGGATCCACACCGAATTAGTATCTTACATATCACGTCGGAATTGCAAGTTTGCCAGTTTCAGCAAAGCCTTCGTGAGTAGTTGCCAACTCAAACTTCAGTCTGGAATAGTTGTGAATCCGTGAAGCGATGCAAAGTTTTATAATATCCTGGCCAGGTGTGCGTTGTGACCGACACAACTGTTCAGTCGAAGCAGTGGTTTAACTTGCTCATCGCGCCTCTATGCGGGATGAAGCAGTGTCCAAACTTTTTCTCAACAGCTGCACTGTTGTAGGTTTCACAAGCACAGAGTCTGTACTTTCACAGCGTTTGTACTTTCAGCTCTAGTAAGCCGTGGAAACGAAAACCGTGATCCCCACCAAATGCCATATCAATTCAAGCCAGCGTGTCTCGGAAGGAGCACTTCCGGTTGAAGGAAGCCAGCGCAGCTGGAGTAAGCATTCACGCAGGGTCAGCATGAACTTCCGAGCAGGGGGAATCATCGCATTTGTCGGACGTACAATTTGCTACTACATTCTGGGTTAATGTTTTCATCCATAAGAAATCAAAGCCAGCAGGCAGCTACTGCTCCTACACCGGCAGTGGCCAGCGCTTCTTGGCCACGAAGAGGGGGTTCGGGTTCACCTTTGTTTCAAGCTTGGTCGCATGGGGGACGTAATATTCAGGTTATCGATTAGTGGATGCAGGTGGATGTGGAAGGAGTGCCGTGATGCTGTAAGCCATTTCCCGACACATCGTTGCGACGGTGTTTGGAAGAAAGTCAGGCTCCAAACCCGCTCATATTGGGTTGCTTTCTATGACTCTGTGCCGCTGGATCCTCAGGCCGAGCCCCGCGAGAAGCCTCTGGCCGGCCGAGCCTCCCCGCTTCTGAGCGGCAATAGCAAAGCCGGAAAGCCTAGGAAAGCTTCGCTACGTTAGCCCTGCCCTGTTTCAGGAACGGCGCCAGCATCGGAGAAGCACAGAAAGAGACGAGCCGAGACACAGCTAGTACGAAAGAGCCTGCCCCCATGCAGGTAGATCCTCCAAAATCACCGGAAGGAAGGCAGACTGCCGACATTCAGAGCAGCGCGAAGACTCAGAGCCAGGACTCCAGGGAGTCGAGGACCAAAGAGGCGAAGGATCGCAGCTCGAAGGAGCCAGAGGCCAAGAGCACAACGGACACCAAGAAGGAGCCGCTGCACCATCGAGTGCGCCTGAGGCAACTGTGACGTCCCCGGCACATGAAGATTCGATTGACAGGAGATGCCGGCTTCTACACCGTCGGCCCTGAATGGCACTTCGCAGCTAGCTTGCAGCATAAGCACTGTGGTAAGTTCTTTTCAAATGCAGCTGACACAAGAGTTGCTATGGAGTCCAGCTTCTGGAAGCCTGCGTCCATCTGCTCCCAGGACGGAGGCATCTCGAGGCGGCTTTGATGCACTGGATCACAAGATTTTGATATCCTTGTCTTTACTGGTATGTGCTGCCTAGGCCATTGATATGCCAACCTAAAAGCCCAGCTGCTTTCGAAGTAAGGCATGGAAACCTTGTATCACACGCCCGGCTTGCCCTTCTCACAGTGTGTTCTGTAAGCTTCATACATGTAAAGACCCTCAACTGGTTTTGCCCTAAGCATCATTCCACAACAAAGGATGCCTACCATCGAACAGTTCAGAACAACTGACAACCCCCAATCCAAGGCAGACGACAGACCCTCCAATCGCCAACTTGTTCGAACAAGAAAGTCCTCAGCGCCGTGAACCGCATCAGCATTGAACGCTCGAAACACTAGGACTCGGCAGCTCTAAAGCCCCAATTTTCAGCAGCCCTAATCCCCCACCTCCTGAACCGCTAACCACCAACCCCCCACCAATCGTCCCAACCCCTCTTAAACAACCCAAAACCCTAAAATCAAACCCTAAAGACTAAACCGTAAACCCTAAACCCCTCTTAAACCCAAGGCCACACGAGGCGAAGCCGCAGTCGGAGTCGCTCTCCCAAGGCACCAGCCGCTGCCTCAGCTGAGGAAGCGCCAACTCGCTACAGGTTGGGGTTTAGGGCTTTAGGGGTCTGGGTTGTTCAGGGGTTTACGGTTGTTCAGGGGTTTAGGGTTTAGGGTGCAGGGGTGTCTGTTAGACTTAGGTTTGTCGTGTCTTCGAGACGACCAGACTATGTGGCATGTCACACAGTTTAGGAGTTAGTTTAGGAGTTATATAATATTATCTGCCATGTTCGAGACGGGGGCAAAGTGATGTAATGGGTGCTATGTTCTGGCACGTTATGCTGTGTCGTGTTGCATATGTGCTAATTTAGGCATGTATTTGTATAAGTATGTAGGTCAGCAGGTATGTAGCAAGGTAAGTACATGGGTAGATTTCTGCAAGCATGCCTGCGGATGTGTGCTCCTGCTACAGATGCGGTCTGAGCTGCACGTGACAAATGGCACTTCCGGGCGATTGTTTCACATGCCGAACTTACTGTATGTACTTCGAATTGTTTGTCGGTTTTGTTCCGGTACCAGCGTGTATGTCCTTCTGCATGCGCAGGTAGACTTGCATTCTATGGTCTGCAGCCGCAAGGTGCAAGATTTTAAGTATTAGTGAAAAATTTGACTTAACACTCAACGTGCGACGTGAGCTGGTAATTACTGCATGGTCTTAGAGTTCTTGCCGTTACCAGTAATGCAATGGTTATGGTATGCTATGGTGCTTGTCTTCTGCTGGATCCTCATGCCTGTCGTCAAGTACGTCTTTGGTTTAGATGCAGTGCTTCGCCTCTTGTTGTCACCAATATGAAAGCAGCGACGATTGCAGCACTGCCACCGGCACCAACCACTCCACAATGACCACTGTGACAAGTTTGTTGTGATGGCCAGCAGATAGGCAAGGAGCTTGGTTCTGAGCTGGGATTCCCCGCTGCCCGTCCTCAGTCAACAAGGCGGGCAGCGACTCGGCGGCAGCACAAGCCCTGCGGGAGTGCTTTGGTTGCAAGAAGTGTCTTCTGCGTGCCCAGCTGGACTCGACCTGCCAACATGTGAGGCTTACGAAGAGTGCGCCAAAGCCGCAGCCCACTCCCGCCGGCGCCTTACGCCTTCCGTCTCCAGAAAATAGGCGTCTCACAGTTTCCACAGCGTGAATCAAGGGAGCTTGGTTGCTTTTTTCAAGACTTCGAAGCCTCTGAAGCCAGGCGGACGCAGCGTCGCCAGAGGCGCCTCTGGACCAAGCCTTGGGGAGGACAAGTAGTCAAAGGGGGCCCGGCCGAGAGCCCGAAAGCCTTTAGCCAGCTGGGAAGTACGCGAAGATCTGCCTATGCCAGTGTGTGCGTACTTGTCCCAGGCATATAATGTAAATTGAAGTCTTATGATGATCAATGAGCAGAGGCTGGTGATTTTCGATCGTTGACATGGCTTGTATTTAATGAGCACGGTGCAAGCGCGCTTGACAAAGCGGGTCTATGTGATCGAAATAGGATGCTGGAAGGAAATCCGAAGCACCTGCCCAGGGAAGCGCGCTCTCTCCGCTTGACAAGGAGCACGCCGAGCCTTGCCTCAATTTCAGGCAAACCTTGCCAGGGTTCCACCCGCACGATCCCTTGTTGGCCTAATGTCAACGGATTTGCAGGCAAATCTGCCTACCGTTGGCTTGCTAGGGCAAGCGAATACTTTCGCAGAAGGGATGATATTCAACAAGTTTCAACCGTATCTGAGGACGAAATTGCATCGCACATCGTCAGATCATTCAGTCCTTTCGCGAGCGGTTTTGTGAGCAGCAGTCAACATACTGCCCTGTGGTGAGGACATATAATTATTAGCACTGCAAATCATCAGAGGGTGAATTCGATTCAGGGTGCCATTAAGTGAAGAGAGAGAGAGAGAGAGAGAGAGAGAGAGAGAGAGAGAGAGAGAGAGAGAGAGAGAGAGAGAGAGAGAAAAACAAAAATTCCCTACTGGTCTGCATGAGCAGCTGTTAAGCTGCCAATGTTTGTTTGTGTGTGTATGTGTTTGTGTTTGCATGTTGCGGTACCTTCAGCAGCTGTCACATACTCTGGTTTTGAGCGAGTCTTTGCGACCAACCCTGACATGTATCTGCGGAAGTTGCAAATGCAGATGTCGTGCTGAAATGTCGTGGTGGAGGAGACCTTGATCGTTCAGGCGCCCTTCTCAAAGATGAGGGCCGATGAACGGTTGAAACATTGAGAGTGACATGCGACATGCATGAACGATGATCGAAATTGATCTGCACTCTGGGCGTCACCAAGGAACTGAAGAGTGCTTTGTGGGCTGCTTTCAGTGCGGCGAGTGATGTCCGCACAAAGGTGACGCAGGCGGCTAATGAGACGTCTCAGTGTGAGACTGTGTGTAGCAGATATATCGTGCTGATGTTGACATGTGGTGAGACGAGATTGAGGTTATGGGGAGTATGAGCACTGTCGATTAGTGGGATCTCGCGCCCTACTCGTAGTTGCCTTTGTACCCGGGCAATGCAGTGAAGTCTTCTTGCTGCTCGAAGCCTTTCGAGAACTGCTATCGAGGTGGAGCAGAACTTGAACCTGATACAGATGCAGTTGCACCAGGCCACCCAGAAATCAGACGCTCTGTTTGCACTGAAACTAAGAGCCAAGATTAGAAGTTACGTGAAGGCCATGGAGCGTCAGCACTCTGATGAGGTCTGTCATGTAGTTGCTGCATCGCTTGGCGAAGTGCACCTCCCGTCTTGCCGGCCCCTAAACCCTGAAACCCTAAACCCAAAACCCTTAAACCCTAAACCCTTAAACCCTAAACCCTTAAACCCTAAACCCTAAACCGTTTAAGCTGTGCCGAAGCCCAGGAAGAGGCGCTCATAGGCGTGCGACACTGGTCTGGCAACCTGGAAGCACTGTTGATGCCACCAGAAGCTATCAGATTCTACAAGCAGTCATAGGGGAGTGTCCGAAAATTAGGGGTACCTCATTTTGGGGTCCCTAGTATAAGGATCCCACCATTTAGGGTACTATATTAGGGTCCCCTATCTTCGGAAACCCCCCATAGAGTCGCGCCGCTCCAGGCATGGTGGAGCAGTGCCGAATGGAGCATGCAGCTCTGAATACACCGTTCTATGAGCCCCATCCTCAGCCTCTGTGCCGATCGTTGCTGCCTGGTTATGGATACATGGTTACATACCAGAACACACAAGTTCAAGGCATATCGGGCGTTTAAACGTAGAAGGTTAATGTACAGCAGCATATCAACGAGTTTGCTGTATGCACAGATGATCTTGACACGCACATACTATTCGGTGTCATTTTATAACATCTGTGTATACATCTGGATAGACACGTGCAACGCATATACTGTACATTTTTCATATTATATGATTCACAAGTGGGAGCAAAGATACTAGTACCGTGTACAAAACAGCTTGTGTTTTTTACCGTGTGCATGCATGCATGCATGTACATCAGCCCTTTTTGTCCGTTTCTGGTTGTCCGAGCCCTTCTTAATGTCCGAACCCGGATCCTAAGTTCTCGCTCTGCGTTCCTTCTGCCCCGTCCGGCTGTTGCAGTTTAGAGTTTGCATTCCAGCGCTCAAGTTTCGTACTGGCCACTTGCTGAGGCCCCACTTCGCGGCGCAGGCGCAGCAGCGTCTGGCCACGGCAGCCCCCCGGGCCGCAGAGAAGCGGTGAAGGGGTGGCAAGGGATTGCAACCAGGTCGTAGCGGTAGCGATTTCCAGGCACAATGCATGTACGAACAAGAGTCATCAAGCTGCCCAGATGCAAAGCCACAGCTTCGCCGTGCAGTCAAGTGACGCTTGGCTGGCATTGTCTTTTGCGCTGGAATATACGTTTTGCTCTCGGGGACTGCTTCCAATATGACTATGATTATTACTGCTGCCATTGCTAGCACTCTTTGTAGTTATTAGTACTATTCTTATGACGATTATTAATCAGAATTCTTATCCATTATCAGTGCTGTTGTTATTTCTACTACTGCTATTCATATGATTGCTATCATTATGACTATGACTATGCCCATTAGACTTACTAACGGGCCAAGGAGCGCCTTCAGCAGCACCGCAAAACTGCAGAAGCAGCTGTCAAAGATGCGACGGATGCTGTCACCACGGCCCAGGTCCCGGTTTAGGGTTCGGGGTCTAGGGACCAGGACAGCCAAGTCTAAATACCCCATTAGGCAAGATCCAGGTAGGAAGTGGACATATATGATGCCGTATATATATATATATATATGTATATATATATATATATATACACACACACACACACACACGCACACATGCACACATGCGGGTATGCATAAGCATATTTCTGTTTATATATATATATATATACACATACATACCTACATACATACATATGTATAATGTGCATATCTGCCGGTCATGGTACCGTTGTCATTCTTGTTGTTGCTTCGAATATTTGTGTACGTACATACACATTCGCACATACATGCATAAAGACATACATACCTTGGCATACATACGTACATACATACATATACACACATGTACGTTTTATCCTTCCCTCTCCATATTTACAATCACGCCCGAGTTCAGTCATGTTGAATGGCTATTTTAATATGGATTGCTTTATGTACCATATCCGACTATGTGTAAGCTTTTCCTATCACATGATCTTTTCAAGAATGGCATATCGTCACATGCCATAGTCTGTTGACATTTCCTTGCACTAAATTGCATTGCAGGCCGCTATGTTACGTTAGCACCATCTCAAGTTTCGTCATAATGTACACACATCTGCACACTGTACGTTCATGCATGCGAGCGTTTGTTTCTGCTTGTCTGCATATGTATGTATGTATGTATGTATGTATGTATGTATGTATGTGTTTATGTATGTACGAATGTATGTATGTACGTATGTTATGCACATTTCCTTATATGTATATGCATGCACAACGGCACCACCAAACTTAGCAGCACAAATCATGGAATTGTACGCAGCCCTTTCATGTCTGAAGCGTGCAGTATGGCCGCAGGAGGAACTGCGCGTATCGGGCAAAGAGGTTGAGGATGTCGTTGAAAGAGCTGCTTGGCTCTGGACTGCCATGAAGTTATACCATCGGGACGAAGGTATGGCAGCTTTACAGAGATCATCGGACAACGAAGCATACGACATACGACAGTTTGCAACAAATGCCCGAAGTTCATAGGCACCGAACTCCCTGAAACGCAGATGCTTGCGGCTTTCTCGAGGCTGAGGACTTCCTGAAGAGAAACATGGACCACCTGCCTCAGGTGAGCAGCTCCATGTTGTGGCTATCGCTGCCCATTTAGTGGTTGAGAGTTTTGGGTGTGGTCTAGGATTGAACCCCCCACAAGACCCAAGAAGAGACATCAGCAGGACAAAGCGCAGCCGCTCGCAGCGCTGTGCACTCGCTTCAAGCAGTTCGCCGAACAGCTAGGTGTACGTCAGGACCGAGAAGTCGGCAAAAGCAAGAGTTGCACATATTCATGCATTGGTGCTGCTCCACAAAATGTCTGCTGCGCGGACAGCAGCCGTCAGTGCTGTTTGTCAGCTCAGCGGTTTCAGATTTCAGAATTGAAGTTCCTATCGACTCAGACCAGGACGGGCCGCCCAAGCCTATGGCCATGCAGCCTATGCAGCCTATGCAGCCTATGCCCATGGCGACACCTATGATGACCCAGGAATCTGCCATGCAGGCGCCTGTAGAAGATCTAATTAATGAGAGCACGAAGGTATGGGCGGCCGCAACGTAGCCCACACGGCGAGACGGAGTACCTGCAGTTCGTGAGCCGTTGATGACTGCAGCTGACATGGTATATGGGTCCGGTTGATCAATCTGCTTGCAAGGGTCTCTTGGCGATGCAGCAGAAGACCGCTGCTGCAGGCGCACTGTAGATGTTTACATGTACCTTCATAGAATGTCAGTCTGCCACGTGCAGTAGCATTTTTTCGAGCATTCGCCGCTTGATTCTTGAGGCAGTACAGTTTCTAGATCGTGACGAAATTTCCCAGACCGGTTGCAAGCAAGCGACGATGAAGACATTCGTGTGTGAACGAGGCAGTTGAACGAAATCAGGGAGGATAGTCTTCTTTCAACCTTTCCTGACCTTTGTTGTGTCAGAACGCAGACTGCAGGCCTCATGCCAGGAATGCCCGGCATGATGCCGATGGCGATGCACCCTATGCCGGACTTCCAGCAGCGCCCGGACTTCCAGCAGCGTGTGATGATTGTCGGCGAGGAGTCTCCGCACTGCCTTCGAACGCTAGACTTAGGCTAACCGCTAGCCATCCCTCACCCAGTCCTGAACCCCAAGCTGGTCACCTCTGTGAGGACTCCAAGCCGAAGGACGAGGAGCAGCCAAATGAACTGCCCGGGTCTAAGAAGGAGCATGCTTCGATACACCTAGGACTTGATGCTCCTACCTTGTTGAAGATACGACTGCACCATGCTAGCAGAGAATCACAAACGCAGTCACAAGACTCGCAGGTTTCATGAAAGTCTTTAAATCTGCAGAAGTAAGGTTCGGAGAGGAGGATCATGACCTTCAAACGACTGCGGCGTTCAACCCCTTCCCGGAGAACACTCAGGCACATGCAGTAAGTCTCCCGAGTTTGGCATGTATCAAAACATATCGAACATCCAGTCGTAGAGTTCGCCCTGCGTTGTTGCTGTTGCTGCTCCACGTTCTTGTGCTTCTTGCGCTGGCGTTGTAGTTGTTGCTGTCGTCGTCGTCCTCGTCGTACTTCTTGTTGTTGTTGTTGTTGCTGCTGCTGGTGTTGTTGTTATTGTGCTTGTGCTTGTGTTTGTTTTCGTCATTGTTGTTGTTATTGTTTTTGTTGTTGTGTTGCGGTTGTTGTTATTGGTGCTGGAGTTGATGCTGCTTCTGCTACTGCACTACGACTACGATTGCCGATTGCAATTGTGTGCATTTTGCGGCTAAGGCCGCTGAGTCTAGTGCTAACGAGCATTTGGCAATGTGAAGGGAGTGTTAATGCTGACATAGTGCTGATGGTGCTGTGGTCGTTGTCGCTGCACCTGGTGTCGAAACTGCCATTACAATGGTAGCCGTAGCAGTACCAGCAGCTGTAGCAGTACCAGTAGGAAGCATTATCTATCCGTAGTCTTAGTAGCAATCGAAGTAGGGGGTAGGAGTGGGAGTAGCTGTAGTTGTCGGAGTACTCGAGTATGAGTAGCGGCAGTAGATGTGGTAGTAGTAGTAGTAGTAGTAGTAGTAGTAGTAGTAGTAGTAGTAGTAGTAGTAGTAGTAGAAGTAGTAGCATTAGTGGTGTCGTCGTGGCTTTGCTGGGATCGTCGTCGCAGGTAGCAGCAGCAGTTCAGGAGCGTGCGTAGTTCCAGGGCATAAGCTGCCAACTAGAAAAGCGTACTTCCGACAAGCCTGGCCTGGTTCTAGCGGCTGCAGGAAGACGAAATCTCGCGTGAAGAGCCAGCAGCTGTGGAAACCAGTGCGGGCCCTGGCCACCGAATCTTAGTTGTAGGCTGAGAGCCATGGCCTAGCTTCTACGAGCCACAGTTGTCAGCATGACAGTCGGAGCAGCAGCAGCTCGGATGGTTCATGATTATCGAGTTCAGGGCTTGAAGGGAGCATTTTTGCGTATTCTGGATGGAAGCCTTCCCGTGGTGTGTGTGTGTGTGTGTGTGTGTCTGTGTGTATGTCTGTCTCTGTTGTGTTCGCAGCTCATTGCTTATAAGACTTCCACCCCAATCCGAGCCATTCATGAAGTCAGGTGCCCGTAGTGACAAGGTGAAGCCTCAAGTCACGGCCTGGGGTCGTCGCTTGGCGACTCGTTGCGTGTCGAGGTCCAGAGGCTGCAGCAGAGAAGAAACAGGAGGATCTCGCAGCCTACAAGAACCGGCTCCTCTCAGAGGCCTGTTCTGTAAGGGAGATGGGGATCCTTCTGTCTTTGGTGCTGTCAGGCAAGCTACCTGCAGGCTGTCTTCGGCGGGAAGAAGGAAGAAAGCTGATGCGGCTGGGTTGGGCAGCAGCTGACGGCTGATCGCTGCCAGTTGCAGTTTGCGGACTTTTATGCTGCAGACCGTCGCAAGATCGGTGCCCTGTTGTGTCAAGTCGGGCCACGAGAGCGGATTACTCGCTCACGCGTGTGCCCTGTTTGCAACGAACGGCTTCCTAGCCACATTGCAGAGAAGACCTGCACCGTTACGCAAAAAAGGCGGAGCCAAGATAGTGGTGCCATGCGCCTGCTGCTGGAGCTGAGAGTGGGTGCGACGGGTTGGAACAGGTCTTGCGCAAAGTTTAGTGACGCTTAGCGTGTCGTGGTCCTGGCGGCGTGTAGCGGTAGTGTTGGTGAAGGTGTTAGGACGGCCTTATTATCATCACTGTCAACACTAGTAGCAGCAGCGCCATCATCAGCAGCATCATCCTCACCATCATCCTAATCGTCATCATCATCATCATCGTTATCATCATCACCATCATCATTCCACCAAAACGACCATCCCCATCAAGATCAACAGGGCTGGCTTGAGACTAAACACACGAGCTACCGGCAATCGCGCAGCAACGTAAAGGCTATGCCGGGAATGCCAAAGATGCATGTAGAAGTAGTCGATGTCAGAAGGTAGCAGATTCCCGTTGTTACATCGTGCATGTGCCAGATCTTCGACTACCTCCAACTGCCAAGAGACGGTGCTGCCATTGGATACGAGGTTGGTGCAGGGGACATCAGGGGAGGTGAATTGCCAGGGGTGTGAACTCGTAGGCCGTAGGCCTTAATCTAGACTGTAATCCGTCAGAACGTAAGCAATCTCGGTTCAGGACTTCCTCAAGCTTGCCTCCTCGAAGAACGGCTTGATCTACCCAGTCGAGGAAGAGCGCCGTACTTTGGGCCAGGACACTTCCGGCAGAAAGGTTTTGGCACCTGTCAGTGATGTTGTTGCAGCAAGTATCTCAAGGTTGCTTGATGGGCTCACTGCAGGACAAGTCCATCGACAAGTACTTGAAAGAGTGAGCATGGTCCGACCCCCAACCCAAGAGAACCCCAGCGTATCCTGGCACCCTTCTGCCTGTCATTAGACCCTTCGCCGCGCCGTGCATGTGCGTGGTCCTGCAATCGCGGCAAAGCCAGTGTTCCGAGGCCGCGATCATCGCAAAACCAGGCTTAGGAAGTTTAGGGCTCTTCCCATTGCTGCATAGAGCAGCTTGTTGCCAGAGGAGTTTATTTTTGAGAGTTGACTTGAGCTGGCACGACAGGAAGCTGAAGCAGGAGCATAATGACATAGACCGTGTGTCTCTGCCAGTAAGTGTTGGTGAAGCCAGTCCTTTGAATATCCGCGATGGTTGTGCAAAGACTTGGCGTCACTGGCCTCTTGCTGCACAGGTTCGTTCAGATTGATTTGTTTCATGGTGGTTCGCACCAAGATTGGGCGGCAAGACCTCAAGTGCGGCGTTGATGCATAGTCCTTCTCGGCCAAGTCATCGACGGCCACCGCCAGAAAAGACGCTAGCCTTAGTCCGGAAGCCCCCGTCCACTTGTTGGCTTGCCCGCCCTGTGAAGTTTCTTTGGCCGGGGGATCGTCTTCGGTTAGATGCTTTGGGCTTTGGGGCCTGGTCCCGGCTTGGCTGAACCAGAGCTCAAGATGCCGTGCTGAGTCGACTTCTGAGAAGCTTACTGGACAGTCGAACGGGAAGTGGTTCATATATACTATATATATATAATCTATGTGCTATATTGTATTGTATTATAAAAATGTGTGCATGCATGCATGGATGTATGTATGTATACATATGTACATATATGTATACTATTTCATCATATAGATATAGGCTTGGTTCTAAGTACTTCAGGTCCCCATCACACACGCAGAGCGGGTTTTCACAAGTGGGGTGATTTGGTGGCAACGATTAAATCGTCATGGTGCGGAGGCTTCAAAGTGTAGGAAAGTGGGGAAATTAATCGACTTGAATCACAGCCCATGTAAAATGCTGCTGCACATGCGTTTGTTGCGACGCTTGTACCTCGCGGTTGTGGCCAGCCGGGCGCCAGTAGGGTCGGGCTCTGCCCTACTGCTCCGGCAGCATGCGCCTAGCGACAATCGCCCAGTTGCGCAAGCATCTCCGCATAGCCTGCTCCCTTCGTCTGACATAGGTTCTGCACGATGGAGCATGACTGCCGGGACTCTTCGAGAGTGGCCTGTACAAAGTCATGTGTTAACAAGTTTTCACTCACGTGGCCCTCGGTGAAAATGGCAAGGATGTGTATCCTATTTGTACTGCCGTTGCGTGCAACCGTCGTGGATGTCCAGCATTCCCGACTTTCAACATCAAGCTGTCCTTCACAACAGTAATGTTTACACCGCTTTGACATCCTTGCACTTTCCACCTGCAAGCTGCCAGTCTCACAGACCAGATCAGTTCGTCCTGCTTGGATCGCAGGCAACAGGAGCATTGGCGATACTGTAGATTCCATGCTTCACACATGCGGCAGAGCTGTGACTACTGCACTTAGCCAATGCTGCATAAGAGGCAACTGAAAGTCCCGTCAAACTTGGAGACATTTGATGGTAGCCTTAGTTCATTTTCTATTTGCCCCTCTCGCAGAGATAATTACTTTGCCGGCTCAGGGGCATACGATAGTCCACAACACCCCATCTGCTGAGATCCTGGCCCAGCGCAGGTTATGTGAGTCCAGTACAGTCCTCGATGCCTCCCGGACTCGTCGCAGGTGCCTTGCAGGGTCTCCGGGATGGCGTGAATCTCACAGACTGGAGTCAAAAATTGTTTTTTTTTTTTTTTTTTTTCTTGGCGTAGTGTTGTGGCCTCCACCTGCTCCTACTGATCACTGAATGAATACAGTGCTGTCGCGAAAGCGTGTAAAATAGCGAGGTAACACCGAACTAACACAGGATTTCATCTATCCATCCATCCATCCTCCCATCTCCACAATCCCTGGACTGTAAAACTTTCGGGACCCTTCATAGCACTCCCGCAAGCCTTAGCATAAACCATTATGTAAAATTGGCTAACTGATGTCTATCAGCTCTTCTATTGCTGGGATCCAGGACCACGGCCGAAGAGCTTTGCTCCATGTACTAGCGGACTTAGAGACATGAAAACAACGCTTCTCTCCGGTAAACTGGCGGGTCTTGGCTGATTTCACACCGACGTGCCGCTTCCAACCAGAGGGTTGTCATTTCGAGGCCAGAATGGGGCTGATGTATTGGATGTTGCAATCGGTCCCGCTTACCGGAGGACGGGGACGCGCTGCATGAATTCCGACCTCGAATCGTCGTGGCAACACGTGACTGTGCGATGTGCTCCGGCAAGTTGCCTCCCACACCACAGTGGCGGGATTCAGCAGCACGGCCAAAGCGCGTCCCCACTTACTGGCGCGATTCAGCAACGCACTCTCCATCGCGAGGGTTGTCAAATCGGAACGCGGGTCGCACAGCAGACGAGTGGTGCCGTTTTGAATGACCGAACATGTGGCGTCATGCAAGATTGGCCAACTCGAGACTCCTGCTAGGTCTGCCTATGCTTTGATTCCAGCATATGGCTACATTATGTCACAAGAGGCAACCTCGCGACCTCACGAAAGCCTTGTGCCATGCAACCTCACAACAACATAAGAGATAACCTCACATCGACAGCACCACCACATCATTCCATCCAAACCGCCTCAGAAAAGCCCTTCGCCACGCCGTAGGGAAACAAGATAAACTCATGGGTGGATCTGTGGATTTGTGGATGCCTTGAGCCCGCACCTGTACAGAGGCAACGTGGAGCCGCCGGCGAACAATTCCTCGGCTCTTGAAGGATTGATCCAGCAGGCCCGGCTCCGCAAATTCCTGCATTATATAAGACTATGCAGTACGGTGCGTTACATATTTTTTTACTGTATATGTTACATATTATATGTTACATGTTATGTGTTACACATTATATGTTACATATGTTACGCATTATAGGTTGCATATTAAATTTTTGCATGTTATGTGCTACACGTTATCTGTTACATATTACATTTTACACGTTATGTGCTACACGTTATATGCTGCATCTTATATTTGTACATGTTGTAGGTCACATGTTATGCTCCTTGAAGCCATGTATTTTCGGAACTTTACTTGCTAATTGTACCGTGCCGTTGGTTGAACTGAAGAAAAGTGTCTGTGCCATCTTTGTTCCGGCCTGCACAGCTAGTGATCTGAGTAGTGTGCGTGTGCTTGGTGATTCATGCTGCGATTCGTTTGCTGCTTGCTTCATGCTCACCAATGCAATGTGGCCCTGGTATTGATGGCCTTCTTTCCGTCTTGAAGTCTCTCAACACTGGGATCCCAGCATCGACCCTACATGGTAGGGTCCTCAGAACGGCAAAGAACGATTGAAACCTGTCCAGAATTGAAACGAGAAGCGCATGCATCGTAATCCTCAGTCTGAATCTGAAGCCATCTGCTCAGGTCTCTCTGAACACTGCTTTGCTGCGCTCCCTGCTTCCAATGCTCGAGCCGCAGAGGCGGGAATTGTTGTTGCTTGTTCTTGCTCTTACCATATGGGAGTTTCCGAAAATAATGGGTACCTTGTTTTGGGGTCCTTATAATAAGGATCCTACTATTTAGGGTACTATATTTGGATCCCCCATTTTCGGGAACACCCATATATTGCTTTCATCTTCACGTCATCACATCAGTGTCATCGTCGCAGATGCTGCTGTTGTTGTCGCTGTTGCTGCTAGTCATTTCCCTGGCAATGCTGCTGATGGCTTCAGGCATTGTTGTTGACTACTTTGGTGACTGCTGGTACTTAAGCCCGGCCTTCACAAGCAGTGCTGCTGCTCCCTCTTGTTGCTGCCGTTTCTTCTAGCATGGCTAGGAGCATGAGCATGACCACCGATGCTACAAGCCCCAGCGCCGCATCCACCACCAAACTGCTATTGCTGCTGCTTGCTTCTAGTACCAGTGCTGGTGCTAGTGCTAGTGCTGGTGGTAATAGAAGTAGAAGTGCTAGT